TTGTCGATACGAGGAGCGCACACTGACCAAGGGCAATGTATGTCCATGAATTTTTACTGACTGCAAATTTAGCTCTGCACAGGCTAAACCACACTGACAGAATGTAAGACCTTATATGCATTTTCTGTGCTGTTCTGCACAACACGTGAGGAATGCTAATCAGCATTTGAAAGGAAACATGGGCTTTCAAAGAAGACCCACCGAAATGCAAAATGGGAATATATATTCCCCTACCAAAAAGTCCAGTACAACTTGTGAGTCATCTGGAAGCAAGTAACTCCCACTCCTTTCCCCCCCCGCCACTTCTAACTTAAAACACAATCATCCTCAAAGGATCGGGATCTTTCAGATTATTTTTCCTTTTAGTAATGGAATTAAGAACATAAACAACAAACAAACCTAAAGGCTAAATAAATCTGAGTAATAGTTCACATTTTCCTTCCCTGCACTGAATGTCAGTATTTTGAATTCATCACAGTTTGGTCACCACAACTGCAGCCTGTCCCAGAAGAATCCTCGATTCACGCAGGTCTTCTTGGCGGTGCTCAAGTCCTGGTGGCACCGTGACCCATTTTAGTTCCTGCCTGGAAATGGATCCCGCACAACCGCAGGGCTCTGAGTGACGGTGAGGGACCGGGGAAGCATACAGAAGCGGGGGGGAAGGACTGCAGCACAGCCAGCCACACCGCTCTGCCTCCGACATGAAGCAGCTTCGAGACAGGAGAACAGACAGCTAGACAGGCAAGGTGTGGGGGACCGCAGAGACAAAGGAGCCGGGGAGAGGAGCGAGAACAGAAAGAGGGAAAAATGGGACAAAGAGCCTTAGATATTCATAAGAAAGATCAGTTCTTGATCCTCAGCACAGGCAGCTTGAAAACATCCAGTCCGATGCAATGGGAGAAAGAGTAAGTTTATTTATTTACACTGTGTTTTCATCCTAATTGGCACATCTTGCCTTCATCTAGCTGTGCTGGTCCACTTAAGGAAGCAGTGAGCCCAAGGTAACCTAACAACGTAACAAATCACCAGGCACTCTATTTATTCAGAAATATCAACCGTATTAACTCCAACAAGCACCGGAGCAAGGACACCCATCCCTCATAAAATGCAAACAAAAAGAAGGGAGGAAAGCAAGCAGCGTAATGAGTTTGGATTTTAAATCTCATTAAGAGCTTGTGTAGGCTCTCCCCCCCCGACCCACCACTGCTCCCCTGCATTATGAACGCCTTTAGCATCCATGCAAAGCCTTGTCCTTGCGGCGCTGCCCTCTCGGACACCACACAGGCGAACTTAGCAGTGAACCTGGCGGTCAGGTTGGAGACCTAAACAGCTCAGCTGTAATCTTTAATAAAAATATAAACTGTTCAGCACCTCTTCCAAAACCCAAAAGCTTCCTGCTTGCTGTGAACAAGGTCTCTTTATTGAGAGATTTACTTTTAATTTTGAACAGCTCTGCAGCATTATCCTTAGCGGAAAAAAAAGAGCCGGGAGATTTTTGAGCTATTCAGTCAACTGCCTGGTAGGGTTTCTCATTGAAATTAGCTTCTCCTAGCAGCATCGCATGAGAATTGCTGGTTTGCATGTCTTCCACAAGTCATTTCACATTTTTAAAGGATTGAGAAAGTGGTGATTTCATTTGATCAGAAAACAGAAAGCCACAAAAATCACCACTGCTGGTGGAGACCCTTAATATCAGCATTTCCCAGTACTCATTGTGCTACGGGTGCTGGCTGCAAGTTTCAACAGCTCGGTATTCCATCCTTTGCTTTTTTAATTTCTTTTTAATCTTATATGGAAAAAGAGTGGCAGTTCCCATCTCAAAAAACTCAAAAAAAATATTATACTAAACATGTAGAATAGTGAGCTGAATTCGCCATTGAAAATTCTTAAAATGTCACAACATTGAAGTACTTCACTAGGAGACAGAAATTTTTACTTGGTCCAAAGCCTGAAATTTAGGTTCTTTCTTACAAAAAAAAAAAAAAAAAAAAAAAAAAAAAAAAAAAAAAAGCTATAAAAAAACCAGTATCTTTTTCAAAGGAAGCAGAAAAAAATACTTTTTCAAATGCTTTTTGATCCTACTTTGAATGCAAAAGCTTCTCTGCATTTAAACATTTTTTTCTACAGTATTGGAAACTGAAGAGTTTCTAAACAAAGGGGGAAAGTAAACTGCCTTATTTCATTATCTCCAGGAGTAAAACGGCAAAAGCAAACAAACACACACCTGTGCCTTTCAACTGCACTTTTTATGTCACTGCAATGCATTGCTTCAATTTCGTGCTGAATATACCAGTAACTGATTTCTCATTGCTTTCTGTCCCTCTCCAAATGCATACCTTGCTGGCACCAATGCAAGCAAACATACAAATATTCAGATTTCTCATTCTGACATTAAAAACTGTGTTCTAAAAATTCTGTGTATTTTCTTCAGATTATACGGTTGCATATTTGGAAGGTCAACTTGAGACCGCTGTTAGGAGAATGGATTTCCTGGTCCCTTGCATACTTATCCCTACTGAATTTAACTCAAAGATGCCCCTCTTGTAAACAATTCCAGCAAATTCCCCAGAATAGGACCCAAAAGCACCACTCACATCTAAAGAACCAGGTTAAAATTATTTTTTTCTATCGAATGTTGGAAAGCACAAGCATAGATAGCAAGAATAATAAAGCCATTTACAGATTTTCAGCGTGGGCAGTTACATTTTTATGAGCGAAACAAGGAAAGAGCGGTATTAAAGGATGAGCTTGGCTCTAATCTGAAATTAGAAATTGCTGCAAAGAAACCAAGGTAGCTTTACATTAGTGTAAGGAAGGTGCAAGATCAAAATCAAGCCTGTGGCAGTGCTCTATCATGACATGATTTCTTTATAATGAAATATAGTGAAAGAAAATGAGTGGCACAAGGATTTTAATGCACCCCAGACACACATTTACAATGATTGAACAGATCAGTACTTGTAAAACCCAAGGGTCCAACTTTACAAACCTTTACTCAAGCGAGCAGTTTCACTGAAATCAATGGGATTATTTGCATATGTAAGGACTATTTATCTCAGTTGAGATTTGTAGGTTTAGGCCACACATTTCTATTTAGATCTTCTATGCAGCAGAATATACAGTCGTATGAAGAACGGGAGAAAACCGGCACCTTGGAGTTAATTTTCATTTGTACCAGTACAGTTTTCTCCAGCCCTCTGAAGCATTTGATAGACTGGGCATGTTTCATAATTGGAAACGTTGGCAAAAATACAAATTTCCTGATGTGAAGAACTGCTACTCATGGATAATAAACAAAATCAATTCTTATTTGCATATTCAATCAGATTTCGGTTTGCATATTAAAGCATAAGATGGTAGAATTTTCACACGGTAGATGGATCCCACTCACTTATTCATGCATATACGCATCCACTAATCCTTACACATGCCAAAATCAGTCAGAAATACTCTCTTTGCTAGGCATTCACAGCACAAAAACACTGTCCCTGCTGCTGTTCTCAGCCTTCTCTTTTCATATAGTGTATGACAGCATTTCCCCGCAGCTTTCTCCCAAGACTCTGTAATAGCCCCTGTTCTCTATTAGTCTTCTTTTCAACTAGGTAAAGTGATAGTTTGAATTTTTGAATCATAATTTAAAAGGGATGCTGTCAACTCTATGTGTAAAGAACAAAAAACACCGGACCAGATTTTCAAAGGAGCTTCAGCGTGGACTTGACAATTTTGCCTGTAACTGTCACTGCAAAATTCAACGTATCTTTCACCGTTAATATTGAAGTGTTCTGGACTACAGCTAAAATCTGAGATTTAGACTGTGCATACCTATTTTTCACGTGCCTCTACTAGGAAACAGAATTCCAAATACTTATATAGTCCAGTACTATCAAAATATACAGTATTAGTATTGTCCCATACACCGTAAGCTAACGATAAATGATAGCTCTGTAAGCTGCGCTCTCAGGTGCGGAATGCCCGCAACATCTTGTGTGACTTGAAGGCAATCAGTGGTGTGAGCGATTAGATAACAGGTTTGCCGGTCTTGTAGCCAGTCTGACAGTCAGGATATCTAATTTGCATATAGAAGAGTGTCATATTCAAATGTATATAATTTTGTGCATTAAATTAAAAATTCAACCGGCACCCTGTGCTTGAAACCCCAGCTAGCTGCAAACAAGAAATGTTTTCATGCGATTAGAGAAAAAAATCATATGAATGATCATCAAAACTAAACCACAATCTGCTGCAGCAGCCTTTACTAGGTCAAGCACAGAGGACTGAAAAAAGTAGAACTGCCTAGGGTCTCTGAAATAATCAGGTATAAACAGAAATGGTATTTCACTCTCTCAGATGAGTGAAATGCAAAAAATCAGCCAGCATGAAGATGAAAGCTCATACACGATCTCTAAAGTAATGCCAACTCTGATCAATTGAAACGTTGTTAGCAGCAGGTTAAGGAGGTATTTATTTAACAATGGGACAGAATCTAATTGACTTCACAGGAGAGGAGAGCGAGCAGGCAGGCCAGCAAGCACCAACTCATTCCTCTTTTTGAATCTTATGCAGCCCTTTATGGAAGGAGGCAGAAGCACAATCCTGTGCTTCCCAAGTGCATATTTTGCCCTCTCTAAACACCAAGGGCATATTCGTGTCCATGTGCTGGGTCACCCCTACAAAGGGCCGAGCCGCTGGCAGCCCTGGCTCTGTCCCCTCGCATCGCCCAGGGCGGCTGTGCTGTTCTGCTTCTGCAGAATGCCTCCCAGCGTCCTCGCATCGTGCTGCAGCACAGCTCCGCTCCCAGCTACAGGAGTCAAACCCTCCTCTGTTTTTCTGGCTGTAAAGAATTTAAACTATCCGTATAAATAACCAGAAAATAAGGGTTTGACCCAGTTACACATCTTAAGGCTCCTTGCATTCATTTGCTAATGCTAAATGTAATGGAAATCACAGCTTTCCTAAAAAACAGGCAGAGGAGAGAAGAGATTTCGCGATTAGGTTCCTACCTGCTTGGTTAGTTGTCACAGTGACTGACACGGCTTGGTCCTGGCTGGGATTTTGCTTGGACACTCCATTCACCGCCCAGACTTCAAAGGTGTAGTTAGTGTGTGCCAGGAGGTCAGTAATGGAGACTTTGGTGGTTTTCAAGCCGTTCTGCTGGGGGCTGAAGTGCACACCGCTGCCACAGGACCGGCAGCGGCTGAGGTCACCGGCACCGCACCTCTTGCATACCACGTTGTAGGAGATGTCTTCCCGACCACCTTTATTCTGGGGGGGGCTCCACTCCAAGTTCACCGATGTCTCGTTGACATTGGAGATCAGGTTCTGGGGAGCAGACGGAGGGCCTAGAAAGGAAAAGTCCACATGTTTTCAGTAACTGTAAAAACCCTACATGGTATCTCCACACCTAGTGTCCTGGGTAATACTAAGCGTGTGCAATTCCCAGTGAAGTCAAGGACAGCAGAGACCACACAGAATTTTACTTCTCTCTGTTCTTAATGAAGGTGAAGAATTGACTAGTAAGTCAAACTCTGACCTCTTCATCCGAAGAGTTAACAATATTTTCCAGCTTTAAATGAGCCTGAAAGCCCAGTATTGCAATTAAAGTAGGGTTTTTTTGCTTTCACTACCTGTACTTGTGATGGAAAACCTAAAATTTACATATTTTACGTTCATTTTTCCATGACCTCCTGAGCAAAGCATCAAATGCACAAAATCCCGCTTTACTTGAGATTTTCAAGGTCCTTCATTACCTACAGGCAGACTCTCATTGAAATTGTTGATCTCCTGATATTTTTTTCTGAAGAATAGAAGTGCAATATTTTCCTGACAAGTTGATGTCAGATTGCATTCAGTGAACACTGAAGCCCATCAAGCAGGGAGCTGGACACGACACTTTGGGGTGCAGGAAGGAGATGGGGATAGAAAGCCGGACGCAGAACTAAGGCTTTGAAGGAAGGAGAACAAAAGTTACAATAGGGAAGGCCGGAGAACACGAAAGAACTGGGGAGAAAAATACAGTGAGCAGTTGAAAGAAGAGCTGACACAAGAAAACTGGTCAGGAACAAGAGAGCATACAGAAAGCTTGGAAATAAGGCTGCATCAGAGACGCAAGGTCAGCTCTTGCACCACCGGGACAGGAGGCTTTAAGACTCGTAAACACGCTGCCAAACTGTTCCCACCTGGTTCCAGCATGGGGACCATGGGATCTGAGGACAGAGCCAAAGGCAGGTTGGGGAGGACATCCCTGGGCAGGAGAGGGGCAGAGCTGGGGACAGGGAAGGGGTGGCAGGAACAGAGCAGAGCCCGCAGGAGGCAGCTCCTCCGGGCACCTTCAGCAACCCACTGGGACTGCAATGGTCGGTTCTGCCTGACCGGGCAAACTGCCTCCAGCAGTGCCCTGCCTCGCTCTGTAACCAACACACGGGTAGAAATCTTATTTATATGCTTAAATCCCTCCAGGCTCCAAACCAATAGGCACACTGAAAATGCAGAAGAGCTAATCCTGTGACTCTTACTCTAATTTCAGTACAGTTGAGGTGAGACACACTTTTTGTACCCTTAAATTTAACACAGATGATTCAGAGCAACCCCATGAAACAGATGGGTGTGTTATACGTCACAAAAAGCTTCACTGATCACGGAAAGGCAGCCTGTTCTTGGGTAGAACACAAAGGTGCTCTGACTATGCATGCAGTACTTTGGGACAGGACATAAGGTAAATACCACATTGAACAGAAATGAAACGGAGAGTGAGAATGAAGCTTGCAAAATGTAATGATACAAACCGGAATACAGTAAAAATAGCAGTCCTTAGTAATTACTCATAGTTAAGCTATAAATACAAATATTATTACCAGAAAAATAATTCTGTAGGAAGCCACAAATTCAATTTTTATTCAAGATACAGGCAAGCTTGTGAAAGCTTCTTAAATTTTATCAAAATACATTTGACTCTTGGAATTCAAAAAAAACTTCAACCATGATCTCCTGGCAGAAAAGGAAGGGAAAGAGAAAGTTCTGGAAAGTTTCATTCCAGGTTTTCCATTCCTGTTATTTGTCAAATGTTATGAAACTGGAAAAAAAAATTCAGCCAGCACCAATAGTTTCATTAAGTGCATAAATAAATCAATCATAATCTCTCATATGCCAAAGGTACAAAAACAGCCATCAGGTTAAGATGGGAAGCAAATACATTACGGTGAAATTCTGCTGAAATTACTAAGTAACTCAAGTGTAGCAGCAAAGAGGTTAAGCCATTAAGAAGTGACTATGGTGAAGATCAATTCTGGCTGCCTCGATTCATCAGGTGCATCTAAAAGGAAGCCTGAGACCTGAGCACATTGTGGAGGACAAGGTTTTGAGGGCTGCATCATGTCCTTGGGTCTGCGCTTCAAGCTGCCAGGATGTAACACATGTTCAACAGGAGACAGGACTTTTAGGAGAGGCAGGTAGGTTAAGAAAAGAGTATTAAATTACACAGAGGTCAAATGTATCTACTTACCTAAATGTATCAGTACCTAAATGAAAGGCCTCTACCGCAAGAGTAGCTGAGCAAAGATTGTTTCACTGTGCCCAATTCAGAAATACGAAATTAATATATTCATTTTGAAAAGAGGGAAATCCTCCCTTCCTGCCAAACCTTTGAAACAGCCTCCGAGTTAATCAGGGCTGACAGGTAGAATTACTGCAAGGAGAAGAGCGAGCCCGGGCCAGCCCCTGCGATGGGGAGCCCTCCCGCCTGCTGCACCAGCGGGCTGCCATTCATGACTTTTATTTATCCACTGGCAGCATTCAGGACTCCTAAGGACAAAACCCTTTTACTCAAAGATCAATTACCAAACACAGTAAGAGACGTTTCCTGCTCCAAAAATTATTGGAGGCTGGAAGAGAAAGAAAAGGGAAAGAAAATGGTTTTAATCTCTGTTCATCACGCGGAAACTGAGGTAGAGAGAGATGTGGCAAGATGACAAGGGCACACAAGACATGGCTTGCACATTTGGGTATCAGTCACAACTCTCTCAAGTCTCAGCCCAGTGCCTCTGCCCCGTAACCAGCTCTTCTGCCCCCAAAAGCTGGGCTTGCCAGCTCCCCAGGGCAGGAGAAAGCGGTCTCTGCTTAGCCTGCAGATACACGAGTCTCCTTTTCAAAAACACACTCCGAGTGCAGTGAGGTGGAAGACACTCCTGAAATCATGAACTCAAGTGGCAGCACAGGAACTGCTGAGCAGGAACTGATCTAAACCCCATCTACTCCAAAATCCCCAAACTGCTTCCCACCAGGGCTCTCTTTTCAGGGCAGGCAGGTGCACAAGGTGACATTTGTCCCTCCGCAATGTCAAGGAGGCAGGAGAGCAAACAGAAGCCTCTGGAGGACACCAGCAGCCTCAGTAGACTGCAGCCCAAGTCCACGCTGTGCAGTGAAGGTCTGACCTCGCCAGAGCAGCTGCTGGTGCTGGTGGGAACCGAGGACGTCTGCCCTCCCAGAGGCGGTTCAGTACCTGGCAGCAGCAAGCCCTGAACAGAAACGGCAAAAGCTTTTACAGTGACAAAAGGCAGAAATTGTTTTCTTACAGAGCGTTCACTTGCTGCGATCACACACGCGAGCGCATCGACTCGGAGCACAGCCAGAAGAGCCGAGATAAGGCGGTGCCAGTGCAAACACCACCCGTCCCTGAGCAACGCCCGGCTCTGCCAGGGCTGCCCTCGTTTCAGGGGGACATTCGTGAAGCAAAGTACTCCACGTGAGGACGGTTCCTCCTGCCAGTTACGGTCTGAAAGATGTGCCTTTTAGCTCAGATACAGCAGCCAGTTTGGGGTTAAACTCAGACTTACTCTGATGTCCATTAAGATATTTTCCAAGGCTCTAGGTCCAGTTTCACGTGGGAAAATGTGCCAGAATGAATCAAGCTCCTCAGAAGCAAAAAGTCAGTAATTAGTATGTGGGACAGGGCATTGCAGTGTCTAAACAGAGACGCAATGAAGCGGAAAACCAGGGAAGCAGATGCTTGCAGGTCACAGAGATGAGTGCACCACCTCCAGCATGAAAAGGAAGATGCGGGGGAGTCTCCAAATGGTGGGCTGACATTACAGTGAGGGGAAAAGCAATTTCTTTTCTTTATGGAGCACAGTCATCAATGGAGCTGTTGGCACTGGGAGTGGGGAATAGTTTCAGATTGATGGGCCTGGTTTCAGATGTTGAAACACAGGGCGTATCTGCTCCTTCAATGGTGATCAGGATTTGCTTTGTTTCTGACAGCAGAGCCGCTGCCGATAGATGAGACGAAAACCCTTTCAGGGCCGTGGCAGGCTGGAAGCGCCAGCGCTGTTTCAGGACGAGCCCAGCTAGCAGGATCCCGCAGCGACAGTGTCCTGCCAGCCAGACCGCCGCCCTCACACAAACCCTCTGTCCTCCAGCAGAAAAATCTAGCTACGGAGCAGATGAGAGGGGAGACAGGGAGCTGTGCATCTGAAACTGGTGCCAACATCTGTGATTTTGTCCCCAGCCCCATGATTTACAGCATTTTTCTTAAAACTCCTGCTGATGGAAGCCTGCTATTGCATGAGCCATTCAGCACTCTGGAAGCACGGAGCTTCCAGAAGGGCTTAAAATGTGACAGTTCCTACTGGAAAAAAAAAAATTAAATCTAGATTTTTTTTATTTTGAAAAATGACTAATTTTACAGTTCATTTTACGGTGTTACGCTTTCCCTGCCCAAGACGACAGAACCCGAGGGATGGATCTGCAGAGCTGCTCGCACTTCTTCCATCAGGGATTGCAGAGGACATAGTTTGACCATGGGACCTGAAAGCCGGATCCCTCACCCAGCCCATTTGCCACCACCATACGTGGACACGGGGGACTCCTCTGTGGGAACACAGGGAACGGAAGTTTTTAATTTTATTCCTTCCTGGGGCTCCATAAATCTTGCTTCACAATAAACACATCAAAATCAACTGAGCCATGAAGCAAATGGAAAGGCCCTGGGTGGAGCAGTTCATTGTGTGTCAGGGTTGAGGGAAACACTGAACAGTCTGTTTAGCAACAAATAATCTTTGTCAAGCTAATCTTGCTATCTTCCTCAACCCTCCAATTAGATATACTTAAACGTATTGGGCAATGCAGATTGTTTGGCTTTCTCTTGCTGCAATAAGGTATAGCCTTTATATCTATCGGTCTCTCACCCACAGATAGACGCATCTGTCTGTCTTAAGGACAATGTTGTATCCCATGTCACATGAATATTCAGGAAAACTAGAGCTTTTAAGGGGTTAATAGCATGAGCATTACTTGTACTAAAAGGACTGATGTATTTTAGCACTCTTAATACAACCTCAGGCTGCAT